GATCCCTTTATCGAAACCCATAAGAGTCGAGGTTGGTATGTCGCAAAGCTCAGTTATAGGACCACGTGGTTTTGGTGTTCGTTAGACCATAGGCATTGCATCGCTTCCATTTTTCTAATTTTTGCAAGGTCTGATTCAGAAGCCAGGCGAACACTGACCAACAGGTGATTCAGCGTGTGCTTGAATATTATATTCTCGATAAATTGCATGCATGAATTATTAGTGGAGATTTACAACAATTTGCAGAGAATGAGCAAATGCCCCGGCGTAATAATATTCATCGGTTTTAAGTAGACATCAAACGTTTTGGGCGGAACCGCTTCCGTCGTCACCGTGTGGTTGAGTAACCTGACACGGAATGTATGAAATAACAGGTTGTGCGCGTCGTTTTAGAGGGTTGAGAGGAAGCTCCTCTCATATACGTATCTTTTACCATCAGTGATAGGCGGAGGGCGGAGAAGCAGATATCCGAGATGTCGAGTTTGGTGAAGCTGAGTGTTGTTAAATATTGCGCCGAAGCAGGATATATAACCCCCGATTGTTTAAGGTAATTGGATGGAAGTAAATCCCGTGCTTCGGGGAATTGTAGGCCTATGTACTTCCAGCTCACTGGTGTGTTATTTTTGGGGCCATCGCTGTTGACCTTGAACTGGTGCCTCTGCGCCCTCCGATCGGCGTCACAAATGCAGATATCCGTGACGTGCACCGAGGATCCTTTACTGCGAAGATATCTGGCTTGAGTAATGAAGTCGCTATTGGAATGTTTGGTTCGAGAACGATATTAACTGTTCGTTTGCGGAGTTTATTGGCGAACAGCCCGGCATTGCCAATGTGGCGTTTCCATCATGCCTTATGCTGATGCCACGGGAATGTAGGACAAGAGATGGCGTCTCTTTTCGTCCAAGGTTTCCACGCCGTAGAAGCTCGGATGGGTTCTAAAGTGGTCGTCCTCTTGCGCGTCGCATTTCGTAGAGCGTAACCCAACTCAAAGTCATATTGCTGGCCAGATTTGTGTCAATCGGCATACGGAACCACTTCATCACATAGGCTCGAACAAGTCTGTCCATGTGTTTTAGCGTCTGCTTGCCGACAACGGCCAAGCAGAGTTTCTGTAGGTGCTTCGGAAGCAGGTACGTCTTCAAACGCTCCAAGCCCTGATGGGGTTTTAGGGGCGCATTAGTATGTTCTTCCAGTTGAGCCCGTAACTTACCTGCGGACGTTGGCTGGAGCCTACATTTCCAAGTAAAAAGCAGGCTTCACATCGTGAATTTCCCTTCGGGTTGCAAGGAAGAAATAATGAAACCTCCACAGTCTAAAGGGATGGTGTCCAGTATCGTTAGTTGGCTAGAACGGACCACTACAACCTTAACGGAGGTTGACTTCATCTGGTCGGTAGACAAATCTATGAGAGCGAGACTATCACTGAAATGTCGCGGGCGCTTCTGCAGCGAAAGCCGGTCCTCAACAATGAGCAGGACGTCGTCGGCGTAGGCGAGATAATTAATTGTCCCAACTGCGGATGTCCATGGTTCAGGGGTAACCCTTGCAGAGCTTCGTACAGCGTCATGATAATGAGCATGGGAGAGAGCAGGTCCGCTGTCTAACTCCTCGTTCCGGATGCTGGTGAACAAGGTTGAAAGTTGAAGTACCTGTTGATTAATACTAGGGAAGGTAACGCAGTAGCAGAGGGTTTGCGTCAAAAACCGAGGCCGCGCGTAGTAAGGGCTGATGAGAGGTAGGATCATAGGCCTTGGAAATATCAACTGAAACAAAGGAAAGTGGAGAATATGAAGGACGAAAATGGCCCTGTGCTGCGTGCATTATCGACGGTGCTCCAAAGCATCCATCCCTACGAATGATGCCGAAGTGTAAACGGTTAGAAGGAAGAGTGGGGACCAAGTGGTTAAATAGGATTCAATGAAGCAGACGCGTAAAACGGGAAGTGGCGGATAATTGGCCAAATTAACTCGGGAAATGTGGGATCATCTGCTTTGGAAACATGGGAGATCCTTGCTTTATTCATGTGTAAAGAGAAGGGCCAAGCGGCGAGGCGAGCGCAGTTACAAAAGCGGGGTCCATCCTCAATATATCCCGTGGTGTGACCCGGTCAGCCCCCAGGGCGGAGCTTCGCATCTGTCGAAGGACTACGCGCAGCTCCTCTTGGTTGCTAGGTCTCACTAAATCCTGGTTGGTGGGGATGACATTGCGAGGTGGACGGTCGTCATTTACTGAAGGCTGATAAATAACTTTTGTCCAAATGTCGGTAAAACCAAGGGTACGGTCTCCTACTTGTGAGGAACCCGCTCGCCGTCTGCCATCAAAACAGTTGCCGCCGCAGCTTTACGCCTCGTATGATAGAGACATTGGATGTGGCTATATTGTAGGTATCAGCGTTGCTGATTGTACTTAATGACCGGCTGTAGCTTTTTGCATTTTGTCGGCACCCATCTACGAGGGAAAATGATGGTACATGCTGCATTCTCATCCATACCATACTGTTTCCGCGAGATGTCGTCCGGTAGGGAAAACAGCATGTTGAGGAGCAGGGAATTTGCTCCGTAATTAGCAGAGTTGCACCCACGCGCAAATCGGAGAGCTTTCGCGAGCCGAAGGCCGAATGTGGTTGTGTCATATGCCATCTCTGCGGTAGGATGCCTAATCGACACTACGGAATGGGCGGAGGTAGACCAAGTCAGCAGGAGCACTGAGAGTCAAAGTGTGGACATGTGACTTGACCCCGATTGGTAGTTCCGTCCATTGCCCGCGTTTAAGGGCGAATCCTCTAGCCTCAAACCAAGATCCTCCAGAGTGCTTTGTGATACATCCAGGTCAACAGAACGTAGGTAGAACCCAACCAGGTTGGTGAGGTTGGCTTTCTGTATTGTTGCAGTAGAAGTATTGTTGTATGCGCTAAATCGATCAATCCTGTCCGTCGGTGGTGAGGTGCTGGCAGTATGGATGTCTCCGGTTTCCACCTTCTCGGTAAGTTGCATTAGTGAGACATCTGCTGTTAGGAATAACGAGGTCGGGTGTGTACATCGGCGTCGCTGCAGCGTTGAAATGGAGGCCGGTTTCATAAATACCAGAGCGAGCCAAACCCGACCCTACACACTGCGCACGCTAATCAGCACAGTGCCATACGGTGCGCTGTTGACGTTTCCCTAAGCCCTAATTCCACCGCCATAGGAATGCTGTCTGTACTTTGTGAAGCACGGTAACAAGTTCAGGGCCGGACCTAACAAGGTTCGCGGCTGCTTTAATTAGATGTCTTTCTTCTCTGGCCGACCAAGTAAAGGCTTGTGCATGAAGTCGTGCTAGGTAATCTGCGTTCCGTCGGACGGAAGGTCCATGTCGTCGGTTGTGATAGGCTCCTTCGCGATGCAAACGAACGTCTGCAGATATGGCAATTTTATTTGTGGAAATCGGCTACGACGGGAGAAGCCAGAAAAACGGTTGGATCCATTCGGTGGGCGTCGTGCTGTCTCAGGAGACCACGGCGGACCTTAAAAGTCCGAGGACCTAACACGTATTTTTTAAGTTTTGTTGCGGTGGAAAACGGTAGGGTTGGTAGCAAAGGGTTCGCGGGAAAATAAACAGGATGCTACGACTCCATTGCCTTGTAAGTAGGCAGTTGGGAGGAGGGACGAGGAAGAGAGACATACGGAAGCCCTGTCATGATGTGTGTGGGACGGTGGTATAGCGAAGCGGTTCTGAGGGCTGGATTCGGACGCAGCAAATGCTAATCCGTTTGCAACATTGGTATAGTATCCAGCAGTTCCGCCGGTCCGATGTTTCGAGCCGTGGGAAATAGGGGACAAGCCGCAGCTTGTGCCGCAGGCCGTTCATCGACCAGATCCTCGGCTGGGGTTTCGGGTGTGGTGGTTGTGGCAAAAGCTCCGCGTTCTCTGGAGCAGTGTTTACTTCGGCGGGTTGGACGGGAGAAGTTTCATTGGATAGTCAGCGACAGAGGAGATGTAACTCTGAGGCGTGCGCAGAGATCCTTGTGCCTGTTGGGGGTCCGCGATTTCGTTCAGCGAAGATTTCAACCGCCGTCGCAAAAGCAGGAAAGGATTGACCGGAAACCGAGGTAGGGGCGGACATACTGCAGTGCGTGCTGCATTCGGCATGGCCGGGCTATCTCGACTGAAAAGACTAGAGTCAGAGTTAACTGTTGCCGAGTGGCAGGTGGTGGCTTTCCGGCGCCTACGTTGAGTTGGCTTTGTAGGCCGGCGCTTCCATTGCAGGAGATGTAGCATCTTCGTGTTGGCTGTCTCCGTCCTCTGCGGAATCCGGTGTCTAAGCCGTGTCCCCCAGTGTCCTCCGCGTCTGTACATGGCCGTTTACCTCCGTCGCCACTCTGAGTAATTCCTAGTCCGCTTGCCGGGTCCACGCTAATAGCCGCATTGCTAATCCTGACCTTAACGTCTCCAAGTATTCGTTAGGGTGCAGTCGTCGCATATTTCGTAGTAAATCAGCCCGAGTTTGTTAATCCTGTGGGCAATGGGAGCAACCGTGAAAGGAGGAAGACGAAGGGGGTTGAGCGGTATTTTGGTGTTTGGGGCTGTGCAACAGCATGTTGACATTAAATAGTTGTGCATGTAAACCAATTAAGCAAGGTTCACTTAGAGGTGCGAGTAACCATATGGCTCGAAATGCCTAAGCATATGCTAAAGCATATAATGCTGAGAAACCTACGAAGGAGAAATGTGAGTAAGCCCAGTGAAGGTTAGCTAGCTGCTTTAAAAGAAAAAAGCTAGCAACTTTCGTAGATTTACGGGTTCGCTGGCGGTTGTGTGCGGCGTCAAGTGAGGTGCAAACGAAAAAGTAGGTAATGGGCGTAGACAAAAGGTAGACATCACGATATCAAACACACACACTAAACATATGAGCTAAAAAGGTAGAATATAGATGGTGTGCGGCTGAGAGTAAGGACTAATTCTTAAACGAATTGTCGGTTCTGAAGGCGGTTGCGGTAAACGTAAAGCAAAATTATAATGAGCGCGGCTATTCAATATTTTAGAAGTAATCAATTTTGACGCTCTGGAATAATTAGAACTCAACATGGTATAAATTATCTGAAGGAAAAATGACGGAAAGTTACCACAGAAGAAACTTAAACATTTACTCATTAAAACAAAGACAGCCGAACAGAGGTCGTGTCAATGCGACAAAGAAGTTTAAACGAGCAAAATATTTGGAGATTTAAAAATACAAATATATTGGCATATATATATAAATAATAAAAAGCAAGGAACAAAAGGCAATACGAATTTGTTTTATTGAACCAAAGTACTCAGAGAGAGATAATAAATTTGACATTGGCTTCTCTTATTTATAAAGCATCGTAACTCACATACAATGTCATTTCCCAAGCCTAGTTTGCCATCTTTACACATCATCCACCTTAGCAATGTCGCTACGCAACCGTTGCTATGTACGATTTGTACCACGGAACCTACAGAAACCAAACCAGTTTTTCCGACTTCCAATCACACAGTCCCGCTTCTCTACTTCTTTTTATTGAACTTTAAAATCCCTACAGTATGAATATAAACACAAGGCAAGTAGTGTAATGCAATTAGTTAAGTACTAACATCTCCATAAATAAAGCTGGAAGTGCGGTGATTATAGACTCAATCGATGCAGAAGGCGATTCTAAAGATAGGAAAAATACCGACCGTGACGTATCTAGCATATTTAACGTTAACCCTGAAGGGGAATATAAGAAAATATCAATAAAAATATAAAAACGCACCCACAACTTACACAGAGAAAATGATCACACCATTGTAAAGAAGTAAAAAACTGAATAAGAACGAGAGGAATGGGAGAAAAAACGCCCTGCACCCTAGGTGTTACGCACTCTAGATAAACCGACCGTTCTTTCAATGGAGTCCGGTTTTTCACGTCTTATGACGAATCCATAAAACAATAATGCATTGTTTCTGCAGCATCCGATGCGGCGCCCCAAGATGAGTAAAGCGGCTTATAGGTATCCGTGGTCGACCGTCGATGCACAGAAAAATTCAAAGCGGATAGAACTCTGAAGGAGCGGTAACTCATACCGACTCGGGACGAATATACGCATGGCAATAGTGCGGTATATCAAAAAGGTTAAGCGAGAAATACGTCGATGAATTGGCATGTAGAATTCGGTTTTATCCTCGGTACTGTTGAGCATCATAACTGAGAATATGTTCGCCCGTTTTCCTCACACTTGTACATGTTTTGGCTAACATACTAAATAAATGTTGCTCTCTCCCTTCTCACTCGCATATAGTGCCGACGAAACCGCCTGGCGAAAAGAAGGAGCACGTATCAGAAGAAGTGGAAGAACCAGTCACGGGTAAGTACATGGTAGTTTAATTTGCACGTTGAAAGCTAATCGCATTCTCTAAGATTCTGGATGCCGAAGCTCTCAATCATTTTGGTCTCTATTTCATGCATAATTCACGACGGTTCTCACCAACCCTAATAGATATTGTTGCTGCCATGGCTGAAGCGCTGGAGTACATGCTTTTAGAAGTTGGTTTGAAAATCCTTCACATGATGGTGATAAGCTACCATCCCATAATAGGCCGTTTCCCGCCCCTAACCTGTAGCACTGAGCATGGTTGTCGCGGATGTACAATCCAGCAATCCGTGGCAACGACCAGGTGGTTTTGGGATGAGGACAATTTGATTCACAATTCAAATATACTGATGAGGCGTTTAAATGCAACTATGCAAAACACATATGGTGAAGGGTTAAATTGGATATAGCGCCAGATTCTTTTCTCCAGACCAGTTTGCCAAGTGCTACGATGGAAAGAACCTTCAGCAGCTGGCTTGTCAAGCTTCGCCACCAGCAAGTTAAATCAAGTAACACCTACGCATTTTTGAAGATATGCACCATATTAGCGTTGTTCCATTTGGTTCCGGCCGCAGTACGCTTACCGCCTACCACTATTGGCGTTGAACCACGACTTGCATGCGGGTCGGAGTCAGTGGGATATGCGACCAAGCCATAGTTGACGGCATTGGATTGCCATGATTGCTTACCGGTTACAATATACCGCGATTAATTCTGCATTGTCATGCAAATTGTAAGCGCACATTGGTCGTGGTTAGTTTCCATCGGCCGTCACTGACGTAGTGGGAATAACGAAAACGTTTACGCGAACAGCTCGAACTCCACACTTGGAGCGTATCCAGTTGTGTACGACACATACGACTACCGACCGCATGCGTATGTTGACTAGCTGCTGGATCTTACCAACAAGAATTTGGTCACCAATGAACAATGCATTCATCAGGCTTAAGAAGAGGTGCTGTACAACTCCCGTTATATAATAATTGAGGAAATTAATATACTAATAACCTTAACAATAATAAAGCTGTACTTTATATATGAACGTTGGGACTTGTCATCTGTTCCGCTGTAGTTATGCAGTCCGCGTAGATTCACAGCACCCTCAGTTAATATCAAGTAAATCCATGGCACACTCTAGAACTAACGCGAAGTAAGAAGTATACGTGGATGACAGCGTCATTCAACCGTCTTTTAACTAATCTTATTGTCGGCACACAGATGACCGATTCTGGGGGAGCATTTCACGGAAGATGTAAAGGAATGGTGAAAAACTTCCTGCAGCATTCCAGACGGCTATACTGTTCTGTGAGTTTAAATGTGTGCTCCCTCAATATTTTATTGCTGCTTACGTGCAGTATGGAGCGGCACACATGATGTGGATTTCGCAGAATCAAATATACCTTAATCAGGTCGCCTCGTAATCTGCGATACCGTTCGCTGCTTACCACCAAACCTTCCAGGCTTTGCTCTTAAGAAAGTAGGACAACTCATTTAACCTTGAGACCATCACATTCGCGTGACCGATGTGGGCCGTTCTCAAAGCTGGAAAAGTACAGAACGCTATCCAAGCAACTTGGTTAGGTAACGCTACCAATGTGAATGGAAGAAATGAGAAACTGAAAATGCTCCGAGCGAAAGGCAGTTACGGATTAGGAAAATGGCACGGAGTAGTTAAAATCGGTCTGTCTTGCTCGCACAGTTTGGAGTAATATCGTAGGAAACGTGCCAATGTGCCCAACTAGAGGAACGAGAGTGAAATAGCTCCAATGATACACTTTGGTGCTGTACTGCGTGCTTCACCATCCCACTCGTTAAGTGCTTGCTTCTCCTAGCTCAGCACCGCGACTAGTAAATCGCAGAATCCGAACAGACGATAGACGACAAGATTACTTCAATGGAAGCAATTATGCACCACGGAAGCGGAGAGATGCTAAGAAACGGAATGCTGCACAATCCACTTTCCTGAACCGCAATCAGTCACGTGCCAATCTCCATTGTCTTCTTCATTTTTGGTGGGGCTTCGGGCAAAAACGAACGGTAACTACGAGTGTCAATGAGTACTCACGGCGACGAAATTCAGGCACCAATCGAACCGGTGGCTTGAGCAAATTTCACTAGACCTTACATCTAGTATTCACAAGGGTGAAGCAGCCGTACACCCACCTACGGTAACTGTAGCTCAAATCTCTCTTGTCGTGACAAGGTCCCCAAAAATATCAGGTACATATGCAAAGATGGCTGCAAAGGTCCACCGGGAGGCCACCGTTGCGGCGACCTCTGTTGAAAACAGCGTTAACTCGAACAGAGGGACAAAGAGTAAACAATCCGCATTGTCAGCAGGGCAGGACAGACGAGCTCCATACCTTGTAAATCAACGAAAAATGGGTCCAACAATAGTGGTTTGGCTGCTGTGTGCTCAAATGTTCTTGAAACTACCGTCATCATATATCGGGATAACGTATCCGACGACTACGACCAATGGAACTCATTGTGCCTGCAGATGAATGTCAAAGCCAATCTCCTAAAATTATTACGAATTACTCGTCCCATGAATTCACCACACCATGGAGAACGCAGACTTATTCGACTAACATTAAAATCCTTCACCGACGTAACAAACACTTTGCCCTCCGCAAGCACGCTACAACACGGATCATGTGGCATACGCATCTATACTGCGGTCTTTTGAAGTGCGCGACAACCAAAACGCAACACAGCAATAAAGGCTGCCTAAACACCCGCTTCATACATGGCGTGTCGGAACATCCTTCTAACAATGTGCAAGAGACAAGAAAGCACGGTTTAGAACAGTGGCGCCTCATTCGGGCAACACCTTCTTTGGATCATATTGTAGCGCTATCGTTCACCAGGATACCTCTTTCACCTGGTTATAGAGTATGCGGCCCCAGCATCCTAAAACGTGTGAATCAGTCAGAGAAACAAGCAGCGGCTGTTTGGATGTATGGCGTAGAAATCGGAAACACCCTTCTTCTGAACTTTGGTTAAAGATGGCAGCAACTGTACACAACTCAACTATTATGGCACCTGAAGCCGCAAGCATGCGGGCGAATGCACGGAGGCGTAACTTACTTGCTGTTTTAATTGACCCTGACGTCGTTCTAATGGAATGTTGGGATGCACCCTGGTAGAATCAAGTGTCAAACAGGTAATATAATACTGTAAAAAATGAAGTAACTGCCGACCTCCCATCGGTCAAAATCCTCCCACAATTGACCGCTTCACCCACCGTTGGGCTCTTAGAGACCGCGAAACTTACCTGCTTGTATACGAGTTTGAAGTGGCATTTACATAAACTAGTCAAAGTGAAAGGTAGCCAAGCGCCCGGGTCAACTGCGGTCATTGGTATCACCGAGCCTTGGTTGCACACGGGAATGACGGATGCTGAAGTTTCGCTACCGGGCATATCGCTGATCCGGAATGACAGGCTCACAAAAGAAGGAGGGGTAATCATATATTACCGAAGCGGATTGCAGTGCGAAGTCTTGGAGAATTCAGACTTGCAGTTCCCCGACTCTCTTTGGTGTCGCTTGCAGTTAAAAGGCAGGAAGGCTTGCCCTATTGTCTCTGTGTACCGCCCCTAACTCTAAACCCGAAAACGACTAAGATGCAGTTTACAACGAACGTACACTCACATGCTTATCATGGGTGATTTTAACATCTAATGTGAAGAAACCTCTACAACGATTGGAGAACAATTCAAAGCTGATTTACAACATCTCACAACCACTGTTCCTGTTTAGAATCACATCACTTTCCCACTCTGTTCAGCACGGGCAACAGACCATCTCTGCTGGATATTGTGCTAAACGACGGGGATTATATGATAGATGTGTTGGTTTTAGACTGCCTGTTGTGTCGCAGTGATCACGCCGTCCTCAGTTCCAAGTTCGTCTGCAATACGGAATGTCGGAATGCGATGGATGCGACCGTGCGATTCGTCACAATCTGCGATCGATTAGCCCAGCTCGTTAACGTCACAACTTGGCCGTTCCTTGCCGAAGCATCCTCGAAAGTCGCCTGACTTGAGTACGTCAACCAAATCAGTCAGGTGATTGCAGAGAATTGGCGATGTTTGTGGGCAAAAGGTTTGCATATATTTCGTTTGTTAAGAGCTGCACTCGAAAATGGATGACGGTAGGCAACGCAGCATCTGGGATGTACAGTAGAGCTGCAGCACCAGGTACTTGGAACAACGGCATAGCCCAGCGTATTCCCTGCATTCAACTGCTAAGCGAAGACAAAGCCGTCTATCAGTAGAACGCCACAAAAGCCTTCAGTACTAACCACCAACCAATGTACCAGCACGTCAATAGTCTATGAAACGTGAGGCAAGGATTTCTTAAAGTCAGGACGGCTAATGGTCCAAACAAAACCGCTGTGGAAACAGCAACCGCTGCGGATGCTATACGCTCCCACTTGTCAGAGCGTCGCCACCAAGCGAGCCCCCAAAATTTGTCGTCTCCAAGCTAAAGGAAACCCACAGCACTGTTAACTCGGAGGTTGTTTTGCAAAGCTGGCGTCAATACGCAAACACAGTTTGCCGCGTGTAGACACCATTCGTCCAGAGGCACTGTAATCAGCAGCATGTCAACTGGCAGGAGCATTAGCTCGGCTTTCCCAGCGCTGCTTAGACCGGAATCAAGTTCCCGTTATACCTAAGCTTCGAATAATAACCCAGATTCATCTAGGTGGAAGCAGTACTGATCTCTCTAACTCCCGCCCAAAATCGCCTCTTCTTATACTGCCCACGGACATTGCATCCGCGGTTGCCGTTGCATTGGTGTGCTATCTGAAAAGTGTAACATCAACACGCCAGAGTAGCAGGGTTTTCGTTGACTTCGCTCCTGTAGAACGAATTTGCAAATCGCACGCATTAGTTGGATTGAGGCAGCTGACGCTGGAGAAGCTGTAGATGTTATCCACCTGGAATTATCCCAGGATTTCGATCGTCTAGACCATCGGACACTACTCTT